AATGCTGGGTTGTTTTAACCCAAAATTTAGTAAAATGTGGACAAACCCAAATGTTGGGCTAAAATGTCATTTATGGCAACTTCAACTTTCACTTTCAACTGCACATTTTTAATTACATTTATAACCCAACATTTAGATTTTCCATATTTAACCCAAATTTGGGTTGAAATAACCCAGCATTTTTTAGAGTGTGTGTATGCCTTGTTATACACTCTAAAAAATGCTAGGTTGTTTTAACCCAATTTTGGGTAAAATGTGGACAAACCCAGCCATTGGGTAAAAAAATGTAATTTAAAAATGTAACCCAATGGCTGGGTTTGTCCATATTTTACCCAAAATTGGGTTAAAACAACCCAGCATTTTTTAGAGTGTATAAAGAAAAAATGACACTCTAAAAATGCTGGGTTGTTTCAACCCAACTTTGGGTCAAAAGTGGACAAACCCAGCCGTTGGGTCAATTTTTTTAATACAAATTTTAACCCAACGTTCGGGTTTGTCCATATTTTACCTAAAATTGGGTTAAAACAATCCAGCATTTTTTCGAGTGTATACCCCAGTGATCTCTGACAAAACCTAATTTGGGGAAATCTGGTGATGTTAGCCTAAACTGTAAAATTAATGTATCCTAGATTAAAAACACCAGAAATGTATTATGTCCCCATTTAGGTAAGTACTGGTTATGTGGGGACAAAATGTCCGCAAAAGGATGACATTTTTGACCTTGGGGACAATTGCTTTGGTCCCCATGATTAAAACATACATTCTGTTTTGTGAAGGCTGTGTTTGGGCTTGGGGATATACCAACGCGTTCCCAACGCGCTCGATATACATATGTTTACGGAAAGTTCCCATAAAACATGAATTACACACATATTACACTGGTATTACAACGTAAATTTGGTTTATGAGGACATTTTGAGTCTTCGTAAATAAAATGGCTTAAAATCATGCTAAACATTTTTTTTATTAAAAATGTAAAAATGCATAAAGTTTTCTGTGATGGGTTAGGGAATGGTAATTTCAGGGGGATAGGATGTACAGTACAATATAATAACTGTCCTCACAATGATGTGTGTGTGTGTGTGTGTGTGTGTGTGTGTGCGTGCGTACGCGCGTGCGCAGAGAGATTGCGAAATAAACATACTTTACCACCCGGCCTCTGAATCTTTATTGCAAACATGAACATCATCAAATAAACATGCACACAAAATAAAGTACTTTTCTATCCTCTGTGTTGTCTTCTTTCATCTAAATCCCTGCTTAATTGTTTCCATAATATTTTACTGTATTAGCTATACATAAAGCTAATCTTAAATCTTGTATTTGCACCAGCGAGGTTGTGCATGCTCTTTAAAATGGTTTGTCAGTAAGATAATCTTCATGTAGCAGAATTAACTGAAATGCACTTCTGTTTAAAAAATATTAACATTTGATATGACATGCAGACTGCATGCAACAATTATGGTAATTTTGAGAGGAATTGTTGGAATAGATTACAAGGGCATATAGGCCTGTTTAACTTCTATTCAAACAATGAAAGGGGCATATGCATACATATAAACACAAACTCAAAGTCTTCTATATTATTCCACGCAGTCTAGCCTGTGTAATGAATGGCGCGTGCAGGGGTGGCAGATGGCTCACTGTGGAACATGGTGTGAAGGAACGGCAAATAAACAACTTGCGTAGGAATTTTGAGACAGAATAGAAAATAGGACAACCAAAATATATCTACTTTAGGCTGCATAATCTTAAATAAAATAAAACAAAACGAAATAAAATAGGTCTACAACATTTTTTAGCCTATCCTATGCTTGTTTTATTAAAATCCACCATGCGCTGTACCAACGTTAAATTAAAAGGAAGTAAATAAATAGCCAAAAAAAAAAAAAAAAAAAAAAAAAAAAAAAAAAAAAAAACCAACAACATAAATAAACAAATAGGCCTAAATATTGTGTGCAATGCATTTAGGAGATGTTGCATGCACTGCATATTAATCAATCGGAAAACATGTCCTTCATTAAAACTGGGATGAGTAGGATGAATCAGAGTGTAATTTATGTGAAACATGTTAACGTGGCTCGAAGTGCAGATTGTCCATACAGCTACAGTGTCATGGATAGGTTAAAAACTGACTAGAACAGTCCCATGCGGGAATGGCACTGGCAGCAGATGGCCAATACAATGGAGTTTCGGTTGGCCTAATTGGAGGGAAATTTGAATAACTGTCACACGCTCGACGCGTGCAGTTTATATCCCACTTTTTCCCAAGCTCCCACGCCCTCTGCTTTTCAGAAAGTGACCGTTAGATTATCTATTTGAATTGTAGGAAAACTTGGTAGCCTATTTTCACACGAGTAATTTAGGAGGAATTAGCTATCCGTTTGAGGAAGAGAAGACAAAGCTCATTTAACGGTTGACGTGACCTACATTTTTGACACAAAGATGTTCACAACATGATGCTAAATGAAAGTGAATCAGAAAACCAGGGTCAATGGACACCACCTTTAAAATATGCACTTAATTGTGACAAGTATACATAGAACCTAAAGTCTACTTGCTAAAACAACCGGGTATGTAGCTACACTGAAAATGTAGCCTACTTTTTTTAGCTTTGTTTTTAATGTCAAAGTTTATCCTCCACCCCCCCCCCCTCCCCCCAACATAAATAGCCTACATTACACATTTTAAATCAAGCAGGCTATAGCTTAGTAAGCATTGCAGGTTACTACACACACTCTAAAAATACTGGGTTGTTTTAACCCAACTTTGGGTCAAATATGGACAAAGTTATAATTATGATTAATGGTATTAACTTTCCAAGTTAATATAAACGATTAATCATAATTAATTTACAATATGACATCCGAGTTGCCAAAGGTAACTGCAACTGTGGTAGGCATATATATATATATATATATATATATATATATATATATATATATATATATATATATATATATACACTAATAAATGCTGGGTTGTTTTAACTACATTTTAATTACATTTTAACCAAATGTTTGAGTTTGTCCATATTTGACCCAAAATTGGGTTAAAACAACCCAGCATTTTTATATAGCCCCCTATATATATATATATATATATATATATATATATAGCCTATACACACGCTCTTTGTAAGCTCTGCTCAACAATAAACTATCACTCAACCAGATCTAAGCTGTCCTGTGAGACATGTTGCACACAGCCCCTGAGGGATTATCCATTAATAAGCCTGGCTCGTGCGTCTCTGTATGGTTAAATAGATGAGGATGGCACGCGCCAGGCACGAGACTGACGCCAAATGGGAGATGTCAGCATAAATCACGCGCCAGATGCAACAATTGCTGTCCAGCATATGGAGACTGAGTGTGGGGTGTTGTGTTTCGATTACATAAAAAGTAGTAGGCTGGAGCGCAAGGCGGGCCTCTACGCACGAAATAGCCTTAATTTCTTATTTTTTTCTTAATTTCCCCAAAACTAAATCTAAGTAGAATGTTGTAAATTAACGAGAGGAAATCCAATGGGGGCAAGTTCAATTCTCTCAAGTATTTTCAGAGTTTATCTGAAGCATGGAACAGTAAACGCTATTAAAGAATTTAAATCGAGAATAAAAAATAAAATAAAATAATAAGTGGTGGCGTGCCACCTTGTTCAGTTTGGAGCTATTTCTTTTAGTTATTTAGCCTATTATTTATAGGCTATATTTATTTTTCTAAAACAGAAAGGACATTATTTCTATCATTATTTCATTAATTGTTTTTGAAACCTGTCATACTAATAAAACATAAACATGTCGAGTAACCTCTGAGAAGTATATATCTGAATTTGTGTCTTGTAGCCTAATATAAAATTTTCTATCCATAAGAGCATAGCCTACTTTACTGTAAATGTATTGACAAGCTTCGAGTATCAATACGGGCCGAGTGTCCTGATTTTTGGTAATCAAAATATGGTCATCCCTAAAGAAACATTTGCTTATTTAATTGTCAAAAGAAAGAAAGAAAGAAAGAAAGAAAGAAAGAAAGAAAGAAAGAAAGAAAGAAAGAAAGAAAGAAAGAAAGAAAGAAAGAAAGAGCCTACAAAATTAAACGTAAAAAGGAAGCAGATTAGTCATCTAATTTTACAGAAGCTACATTATATTTGATATAGTTCTTATTAATGTGTTATATTACACTTATTAAAGGTTACTTTAATGTACAATATTAAATCAGGCATATTTGACAAGTTTAAATCAAATAACAGAATCACAGTCAAATAGATTCTAGGTAGGCATCCATATTTTAATTGAAAGTAAACTTTCTCCACGACAATACAATAACGTTATATGGGAACAAAATGATCCTAAAATGTAAAGAAAATAGGCTGTTTTAAATTGCTGACACTTTGGCTACCGCTGCGCAACAAATATTGTGCGAGCCTGCCATCTATTGAGGCCCTTGAGGTACTATCACTCGGTTGCATCTGCCCGTTCCAAAATAGATACGACCATTAATATCGAATACATATCAAGTAGCCTACACTCTAAAAAATGCTGGGTTGTTTTAACCCAACTTTGGGTCAAATATGGACTAACCCAGCCGTTGGGTTAAATTTTTACATTACATTTTTAACCCAACATTTCGGGTTTGTCCATATTTGACCCAAAATTGGGTTAAAACAACCCAGCATTTTTTAGAGTGTATAAACATTTTTTTTTTTTTTAACATTTTTGTTTTCTATTGAATACTTGAGTGGATGAAGAGTACACTCTAAAAAATGCTGGGTTGTTTTAACCCAATTTTGGGTCAAATATGGACAAACCCGAAATGTTGGGTTAAAAATGTAATGTAAAAATTTAACCCAACGGCTGGGTTAGTCCATATTTGACCCAAAGTTGGGTTAAAACAACCCAGCATTTTTTAGAGTGTATAGAGGAAAATAAACTATTCCCTACTATGCCTTCTTCTGCTGCGTAATAGCCTAATAATGTCGATTAAAGAAACATGCGCATGACAACACAAACCAATAAGAAATACTATAATATGGATAAAATTAATAGGCCTATCCTTTGTTTTAGAAAACATGAGATACTCGAAAGCTACAACCAAACAGCGTCATCATGAAGCGCTGTCCCTTTAACATCTGAGCCGATTTGAGTGGGGCCAACATGTTACAGTTCTCCTCCCCTTAATGGATTATTCACAAGTTCAGTCCCTCAAGACTTCTGGACGAACCGTTTGACAACAAGCCAAATAGCTAGCGCGATATACGCATTGGTTTTGCGGTGTTATTGTTTAGTTTAGCCGGTGTCAATGTTAAGTTAAGGACAACAGGTGGAATATTCAGTGTAGACAGTGGATACATTCAAAGAAGACCGTAAAGAAATGCTTGGCTGGTTTTCTTTAGGTAGGAGCCACGCGGTAAATGAAGGTATTTTTTTTTTTGTCAAAATGCCATATACTGATTAATAGTATATGCTCTGAATATATTTCTTAGATATATGTCTATACCGGTATGGTCTGGTGATTCAAACAAAGAGGGATGGACAGAACGATAGACAACGCTCTCTGTAGTGAGGAGGACTTCTAACTGACGCTTAATGGTGCGCTAATCGTCATTTGTTTGGAGGATACATCATCATGGTGGTTGAGAGGACACTTCTCGCAGCAAGGCAAGGGGATGTACAAACTTTGAAAGTACAATTAGCGGAGAAAGTACTCAACGGCGATGTGAAAGATGTGCTGGGAGCGACTCCCGTACACCACGCAGCTCGAGCAGGGAAGCTCACCTGTCTGCGGTATTTGGTTGAGGAAGCGGGTTTACCGGCGAACAGCCTGGCGAGAAACGGCGCGAGTCCTGCTCATGACGCCGCAGCCACGGGCAACCTGACCTGCCTACAGTGGCTCGTGACGCACGGAGGATGTCGAGCGGCCGTGAGTATCTAACTTATTTTTTCAGTAACACTTAACAGCATCCATGTATAATACACAGTTATTTAAAATCATGTTCATATTAAAGGAATAGACTATAGTTGACTCCAAAATTAAAAATTTGTCATTAGGCGACTCCAAATTGTTCCAAACCTGTATGAGTTTTTCTTCTGTTCAACAAAAAATAATATATTTTAAAGAATGTTGCTAACTAGACATTCGAGTGTTACTGCACCCATCGAGTGTGACTTCCATAGTAGTTTATGGAAAAGAAAAATACTATGGAAGTCAATGGTGTGCCATCAACTGTCTGGTTACCAACATTCTTTAAAATGTCGTCTTTTGTGTTCAACAGAATAAAGAAACTAATTTGGAACAATATAAAGGGGAATAAATGGTGACACAATTTTATTTTAGGTGAACTATCCCTTTAAGGCAGCAAAGAAGGCCCCTTGGAGTAAACTGTGGGGAACATAACACAACAGGCATTGACAAATAAAAAAATCAATCACATTTCAGCAAAGGGTTTACAATTTCTGTTTAATCTCAAACATTTGTCCATGACATAGGTACAGTATTTATCACATTTAGCCTATGTTAATAGTGTATGTTTATAGCATAGGGCCTGCATTTGCCCCACTGCATATCTATAATGTCAACAGTTGATCACCTTGAACAAATGATCAGAAAATCATATCCATCTCAAAATTAAGATAATTCCAGGACTTCTCATAAGCAGCATAGACTTGCAACAAATAATAATGTTAAGTTAAATGACCTAAACCCCAGTTTTTAATCACTGCACACAATTAGTCATGAATCAATATATTTTGTAGTATATACATTTTTATGTTATTTAGTGGGTTTTTTAGGGTCTCTGGGTCTTCTCAGTCCTCAAACGACCCTGCTGTTATGCCAAATTTGGCTTTTAAAATCACTAAGCGTGCCGTGTTCTGTCTAATGAAGTGTAATGGAACCATTGAAAGACAACCATCAGTGTATGCTCAGCATCCACACTGGTGCATAAAATGCTTTCATGGCCTAATCGTCACCATTAATCATCTCATTAATAGAAGATCCTTATAACACTCACCTTCAGTCTCATGGTTAAAGAATTTACTCAACAGTGTTCCTGAGGTCTTTTTAAGAGTGTGACTTCAGTTTAGCCGCTTGACCCGGGCTGTGGATAATACCGTCCTCATGGAGTCAAGTGTGTGATTCATGCAGTGAGTATAATTATGGAATGAAGCCAGTGTGCTCTGTAAGTGCTACGAGTGTTCAGATAGATATAACCTGCCAATGCAAAACAAAAGGAAGGAAAGTTTTTGTGGAATGAGATATATAGGGCCATGTTCGTGTGTTTGTCTTATTGCTGTTTTCAGGAAAAGGTAGTCTCGGATAGCTTCCATAAACATCACAGGCCCACAAGAAGGTTTTTTTGAGTCACTGGAATTGAGTTTTACAGATTATACATCTTCTAGTTAAATGCGTTGGAAAATCGCCTGCTCAATAATCTGTTGTGATTGTGAAGCGTTATTGGGTCCCTTGTGACAAAGAATTCTTGTATATAATATGTACTGAAATAACTCATAACTATGTTTCCTAACTCTCACTTAAAGGGATAGTTCACTTTGAAATTAATTTTTGGTATGTTTTAGCTTACCTCATGTTTTTAGGTCAAACCGTTTGTGTCTGTCGGTCATATAATGCAGGTCTATGGTCACCACCTCAAAGAGCATGCACAGAGAAGTCCAAATTAAACATGATTTAATGACTCGTAAATGTAAGTACACATTGATGGCCTAAGACATGAAACGAGCGGTTTGTGGAATAAGTGGAACATTTTGTTTACATTTTATATTACAGTGCTCTTGTTACACAGTACATGTTGTTACTGTAGTAATTATGCATAATTACATGCAACTAACCCTAAACCAAACCCTAATCCTCTAAACTAACAACATGTAGTAGTTTTTTTTCCTGCCATTATAATGCAGATATAGATATAGTAGATATAAATATACTAGATATACTAAAAAATACATGTAAAAGTAACATTAATATGTTAGTCTATACCCAATAATTAGGTCTAGTGGTACACCTCACCTTATCACTTCAATAAACTGGAAATGTATCACTTTTTTTTTCAATAAAAAATGGCAACACTTTAATTTAGAGTCCAAATTTGGCGTAAACAGAATGAGAACATGGATCCATTATGCCTTGTTACCACTGTGCAGGCTGGTGGTGGTGGTGTAATGGTGTGGGGGATGTTTTCTTGGCACACTTTAGGCCCCTTAGTGTCAATTGGGCATCGTTTAAATGCCGCGGCCTACCTGAGCATTGTTTCTGACCATGTTCATCCCTTTATGGCCACCATGTCCCCATCCTCTGATGGCTACTTCCAGCAGGATAATGCACCAGGACACAAAGCTTGAATCATTTCAAATTGGTTTCTTGAACATGACAATGAGTTCACTGTACTAAAATGGCCCCACAGTCTCCAGATCTCAACCCAATAGAGCATCTTTGGGATGTGGTGGAACGGGAGCTTCGTTCCCTGGATGTGCATCCCTCAAATCTCCATCAACTGCGAGATGCTGTCCTATCAATATGAGCCAACATTTCTAAAGAATACTTTCAGCACCTTGTTGAATCAATGCCACGTAGAATTAAGGCAGTTCTGAAGGTGAAAGGGGGTCAAACACAGTATTAGTATGGTGTTCCTATTCCTAATAGTCCTTTGGGTGAGTGTGTGTTATTTATTATGTACTGTGTTGTTTGCAGGATAAGGACAGCTCAGGGGCCACTGTCCTGCATCTGGCTTCCCGCTTCAGCCATCATGAGATCATTGAATGGTTGCTGAAAAGTGGGGAAGGGGATCCTACTGTTGCCACGGATACAGGGGCATTGCCTGTTCATTATGCTGCAGCTAAAGGGGACTTGCCTTCGCTCAGGCTGCTACTGGAACACAGTCCAAAGTAAGACCATACAGTGTGTAATAGTGGGAGTGTGAAATAATTGTGTTTGGTAGAATTCATCCAAAGTACCAGGACTTTTTCGTCCAAGCACTTTCATAAACATGTCACAGTCTTATTAGATTAATGATTGTTAAAGTCCCCCTGTAGTCAAAAATTTAATCACTTAAAGCTACACTGTGTAACTCTTTTAGTTTATTCTTAGCTAAAAAAACTTAGTTCTTTCAAAAATATATGTGCTCATTAATGTATATTTACTTCGTTCAAATAATAATGTATTCTTGTGAGTGTATAATATTCCATTGAAAATACATACGGGTAAGGGGTTCTAATGTCGGTCGCCATGTTGCCCCTCCATCTTGAAAGTACATCAGCCAAAGAGGGTCATACCCGTTAATTCAAGCTTCGCCTTTCGCGTTTACGTTTGAGTTAACACTCACGGACGAGGTCGAACTGGAAGCCATGTTAATCTTGGACTACATTGGCCACCGTAGGAGTTAAAACGAAATCGGAATTGAGAGGAACAGAAACTAATACTCACTGGATGGTCATATACCTTTTCACCGCTAGATGGGGGTAAAAATCACACAGTGTAGCTTTAAAACTCATCTTTGATCAACAAAAGGACATTTTGTCCTTGAAAAAAAAATGTCTTCATGCAAATTAGCCCCGCCTTCGCTTACTCACACCAGCTCAGAGATCCACTTGCTGATGAGCGCACATTGTCGTGATTGGTTACAAGGTAGTTTGTGACGTCAGAAACACCAGCGATTTCAGCGATTGTTTTTGAGACTGTCTTTGGTTCACCACAGTTTTAAGGAGAAAATACTGAAAATAAAATAATGCAATTGTGTGGAATGGTTTGTCTCAAAGCACATTAAAGGAGTAGTTCACTTTAAAAAAAAAACTTTTGCTGATAATTTACTCACCCTCATGTCATCCAAGATAGCCATGTCATTCTTTCTTCAGTCGAAAAGAAATTAAGGTTTTTGATGAAAACATTCAAGGATTTTTCTCCATATAATGGACTTCAATGGGAACCAAACAGTTCAAGGTCCAAAAGACACTTTCAGTACAAACTACAAACTGTTCAAAGGGCTTTAAACGATTCCAGACAATGAATAAGGGTCTTATCAAGCGAAACGATCGCTCGTTTCGGAAAAAATAACAAAGTTTAAGTTTTATAAGCGCAAATGCTCGCCTTGCTCTGTTCTGTGACGCACGTTCATGACTCTCCTGTTCGAACTCGTTCATCAAATTGAACAAATCATTTTTTCGTGTCATTTGGTTCATTCAACGAACGAAATGATCAAATTGACTCGGGAAAAGATTTGTTCATTTTAATGAACGAGTTCGAACAGGAGAGTCACGAACGCGCATCACAGAACAAAGCAAGGCGACCATTTGAGCTTATAAAACTTAAACTTTGTTATTTTTTATTAAATGAGGGATCCTTTCACTTGATAAGACCCTTATTCATCGTCTGGAATCGTTTTTAAGCCATTTGAACAGTTTGTAGTTTGCACTGAAACTGTCTTTTGGACCTTGAACCGTTTGGTTACCAGTAAAGTGCATTATATGGAGAAAAATCCTGCTATGTTTTCATCAAAATCCTTAATTTATTTTCGACTGAAGAAATAAATACATGGATATCTTGGATGACAGCTTGATTTTCACCATAGGCGGACTTTACGATCAGTGAATGTTCACATAGGGCATGCCATGAAATGTTTTGTTTGTATGCGGAAAAGCAGTGATATTCTATATATTTTGTTGTTCCTTTGTCAGCCATTTTTTTCTGCAGGACTCAAAAGCCCAGTCTGGGTCGCCATAGGCTTTTCAAACTTTAGACTGACTCCCAGTCAGGAATTTGCATCTGGACATTTCCTTTATTACAGTCTTTGTGACAAAGATGGAGTGTATTTACGTTATTGATGACTGGCACTTTCATTAAATCAACATGCTTTTGCGACAGACTTTCTTTTCTTCTTACTGAGATAAAACATGCATTGTTTTAAGATCATGTGCATTGGTATCAACACTGGCATTATAAGCGTTATTATTCAAACAGGTTCCTGGTATTCTTTAAACCAATCAATTTACAAGAAAGGAAGTTGCCTCATGAATGTACCTAATAGTTTAATGTCAAGTTGATATTTTTTATTGCTTCCTAACCTTACAGTTCAATAGCAGAATCAGACTTTACTTTTACAGCTTTACTGTTTTTTTAAGAAGAAAATGTCAGTGGTGCGTATCCATGCGAAACTCACGATATTAGGGAATTGTGGATGATTGGCCACTTGGTACAAAGAGTAAAACGAGTCCGTCCATTAAGTCTCTATTCTGGTCTTTAGACATGGCTCTGGTCCTTCATGTGATGCCAGTAAATGCGATTTATTTTTGCCCATTTAATTTTCTGACAAGTAAAAATGAGGATTTTAGCTGTTTCATAAATATGAGCAATAGGAATAGTGCTACATGCTTGCCTTCGTGAACACCAACTTCCACATATCTAACATTCAGTCCAGCAATGTTACACTTTTTATATGATAAATGGTTAAGTCTTTCAGGAAAGGCTCTTGGCTTCAAAAGAGAGTAATTATTTGTAAAGACGGATATGATTACACCTCATTTCCTGCTGTATATGAGGACTGTCATGTTTATTGCTATACAGTCTGCACTGCAGCCGGCTGCCAAGATCAATGTCCACTATCATTGAACGCTGAGTTTAGTCAGCTATTAAGGATGTCCCCTTTAAGTGGTACAATTGATTCTGTCCATATTGTAGAAGAACTCAGGGAAATGGACAAAACACACCTTAAGATTGATTGATTGATTGATTGATTGAAAAAATGAACTGAATGAAGACATAACTTAAATACAGAGAGCTAATTAATCGATACACAATCAAGGGAACAAACTGGCACACATTAAAAAAACTGGGTCACACAGGCAAACAGGCACTGAACTTAACTTATCTTTGATCACCAAAATTACATATTTAAACGTTTTTTTTCTTCTTTATTTCGTTAACACAGCTTGGATGAAACTCTACACCCTTGTTCATTTAGAATACGTAGAGTATGAATATGCTAATTATCCCCGCCTCCACTCACTCGCTCACAGATTCACTGACTCGGCCAACTTACTGAGGTAAACGCTGCACACCGTCGCGGTGACTGACAGCTGCACATTCTCCTCAAAACATTGGACACAACCCACGTAAAGTTG